TTCATGAACTTATCTCTGCCAAAATAGGCTCGTTCAATGTTAATAATACTCTCCTACGAAAGTTCCATAATGTTGGAACCTTTTAAACTCGATTTTTGCGGGAAAAAAAATGATCCTTTATTCCTTTATTTTTCCTTTATTTTCTAAAGATAAATGATCCTTTAACTTTATTTTATAAAGATAAATGATCGAAAAAAAAATTTATTCTTTATTTTTTAAAGATAAAGGATCATTTATCTTTATATTCTAAAGATAAAGAATGCACTTAACTTTATTTTGTAAAGTAACACTAAATGACCACCCCTATTTGTCAGAGAACTTCTTTTGTCAAATAAAATAATCGTCCTATAAGAAATTATTGCAGTTATAGAAACTAATGTATGCTTTATTCCAGAAAAATTTACCTCAACAAAAGTAACGGTGCATCTTCATTTTGAGTACAAAATAAGTAACATGCCTTCTTTGTTAGAAATTAATACATATCCTTCTATGACTTCTCTCTTCTGATTGATCACGATATATATACTCAGAAACCGATAGTGTATCGCAGAATTACTATAGCCTGAAATTCGATAGGAGGTGATTTTTATTTGCGCTTGTTGCACAATTACTGAGTGTGTTAGATCAAAACATTTTCATCATGAACACATATTAAAAATAGATACTAATTCATGAACCTAAAAAAATATTAACAAATCTTTTCGTGCACGATCATAGGAAATTCGCCATCTCATACATTTTATTACTAATGAAACTTCCTCAACAGTTTGCTTTATCTGCACATATCTTCATGCCTTTAAATGCGAAGTATCATTAGAGTAGGATTAATGTAGAAGAATAAGTGTTTTTATTTTATGAGTAAAGCTCTACTTAAAAAATATTACTCTATTATAACTTACAGTGATTATGACAGAGTTCGTCAAATCATTGTGTATATTTCACTTACCTTTAGGATTGTCTTTGTTATTTATGAAAGAATCTATGTAAATACTGCTCTGAAAATCCTTTGATTTTTGCTAAAAAGCAATGATGATTCATCTTTTGATTTTTCTTTCGTTAGGCAACTCAACGATTGTACAATCAATCTACACATCAGTGTTGACGAACACTAGTCAAACTTTTTGCCCAACACATCCTTGTGTAGTAAAAACCTATCCCTATCAAGTTTTAATTATTAATATCTCTGTGTCAGGAATATATTATTTTGTACTTCATGGCGACACAAATATGAACGGGTTTATTTATAATAACAGTTTCAATGCTGTTCTTACATCTGAAAATCTCATACCAGCCAATATCGAACGTCTTTTCTTCGATGCACCTATTTTACGTTGTTTTATTGATACTTTATCAACGTACATTTTGGTTGTAACGACAGACGCTCCAAATATTTTTGGAAGTTTTACAGTGACTGCAGCTGGACCTGGCTCTCTTACTTATATTGAATTAGAAGAACAATAATCTTGCGCTTTCAATCTTCATTATATATTTATCAAGTCTATTTGTTTCAAATCAAAACTAGTGTCACACTATAGATATAAAATGTTTTTCCTAAATACTCTTGATTCTACTTGCTTTAATCACATATTATAAGTTTCTAATACACATTATATTATATTGTTCACTTTCAAATTCACATTTTATACGCTTCATTTAATGGGGAGGAGAGTGTGTATATGGGTTGGGTCTCCATCTTCTTTGAATAACTTACATACACACCTACACCCTAGTACGATTTGTTCTATAACTTCTTCAAAACTTGAAGATTTTTAGATCTTTTATGTACTTATAGATTGAACATATATTCGTTGAGTCTCATAAGCAAGGACGAAGAGCGTGCCATGTGATGCTTTCTTCAATCGAAAAATTTTCTAAATAACTTCTACACACTATTATTATTGATATGTCTACTAATAATTTTGTAGATTTGAAGTATCATGTATTGGTTTGAAAATTTCATTGGTGAATTTTTGATACTGGTATTTAGGCCACTTGATAAGATACGACTCACCAACATCGAAATACGAACGGTATTGTCGTAGCTATAACAAACTCAAGTATTTTGTTTAGACACATCATTTTAATAAATTCAGTTTTTAAACATAAATAAGCTTAACTGAATTAATATTGCTACTATATTCAGCAAGAATTCAAGACTGCAGTGGAATCAAAAATAGGCTCCATTTTTATCATAATTAGTATAGGGAAAATGGTTTGTTAATCTGTTATTCTTAACAGATATTTAAAAATATATTTGTATATGATCGAGATTTTTCAGAAACTTCACTGGAATTATATTTTTTTCGCCCTCATAATCAACGTCTTAAAAAGATAAATCATGCTCTTTCAAAATATATATCAACTTTCAACTTGCTATATGAGCTAAATACGTGCGATCGAAAAATTATAGTGTCTTAGCCAGCTAATATTTTGTGTACGGTTTCATCGTCTATCGCGTAAATAGTATATTTTTTTCTTTCTATAAATAGTTATCTTCAGTCTACGCAGAACCAAATAGTTTTTTGCTTGCTGTCAACACATTACATGGTCGTCTTCCATATATGTACATAATTGCATTCTTTTGATTCCTCTCTGACTATTCATGTATGTAAGACACATATTTATATGTATATCATTATCTCTTTGATACAAACAAAGGTTCTTACAAATATACTTTATATTTGAATTATTTTTTCTAGATTAAACAATGAATAAATTATATATTGCGACATTTTTATTTATCTTTAAGGCGGAGTAAAGCCTATAAATGATCAACAAGATATAATCATAACTGGTCGTGCTACAGTTTCTGAAGATTCATCTAAATCCATTGAACATGGTGCAAAATTAACAGTAGAGCTACCAGATACATCAGCTATTGATGAGAAAGAAAAAGTTATTGCACGAGGAATAAGTAAAGTTACTAAATTTCCAGTTACATTTGGCATATAATATCCATCAAATAAATTAATCCGGAACATAAATATTCATTGAGTAACAGTATTGCAGATAAGAAAAATAAGGTTATATATGCCAGTGATACTCCTGTTGTGATAACACCACTTATCGTTGATCGAAAAGACCCAATTGAAATATCTCTTTCACCTGCGAAAGGTAAGAAGAGACAAGCTTGTTTTGTAAAATTTATATTGATAATTTTAGAAACGTCATCACCATTGACTAAAACTTCATGGCCGTAATTAGTTAAAAGACGTAGTCAAGAGATAGTTGATATATTTAATAAAAGAGACAGGTATCATTTTCACATTGAACAATATGTAGAAATTTCCTTTTCTTTTATTTGAAATAGGCTTTACTAACGTAGAAATAATTCGACCATCAGCAATATTGACAGAGGATTATCGTCGCAACCGTGTACATGTTTTTGTCGATAAGCGAGGTCGAGTGATAAAATCTGCAAAGATTGGCTAATCAATGCGTGTGAAAATAACAAGACGAACAACGAACTCAACGTTTTCCTCGAACACTACTACATATATATTGCTTCCTTTTTTATGTGGTAGGTGGATCCATGGGAAACGTACCACCTTTCTGGAAAAGTATTTCTTTTAACGTTTTTTTTCGCGCGTTAGTCTGATAGTCAATGAAAAACAGGTATGGAACCATTTTTAGACTCGAAACATACTGAAATTGTGGAGATCTACGATATTCTTCAGGAACATCCATGGACATGGCCAAATATAATGGAATTTCATTTTTTTAACATTGCAACACCTGTATCTCCTCAGTAATAAAAACAAATTCTCTGAAATTTTTATCATAGATAGAGATCATTTAGTCCTGCTACCAGTAAAACTTTCATTGATTGATTGTTCTTTAGCCAGAGCAAAGTTATTCAAAAAATACTTTTGTTGTCGGCATGGCTCAGAAGCAGCACGATATCACATATTCGCATTCCTGACGCTCTAGTGCATTGAAACTGAATCGATTCTCTCTTTTTTTGCGACGTTCACGAGCCAGATTTACCGCGATTCTCTTCGATTTCCAATCAGAAAATTCGGTCTATCTATGCATTGTCATGCAAGTTCAATGTTCTTGCTATAAATGTACTCCAATATCAACAAATTTATTGCACCTGATAACATTAACAAATACAAGCTGAGCTTTACTGTGTTTCGTTTTTCAAAAAAGTCTTTGGTCTAGAACTGAACCTGTTGTCCAAACTCGAGTAACTGCTATACATCGAAAGAACAAGCTACTTGTTCAGAAATAGGTACATGATCAGATGAAGGAGCAGTATCCATCTGGACACATTCTAGGTACATAGCGATATCTATTTATGCTGAGCAATTTTACTTATTCGTGTAACTGCACACCGAATAAAATTGCGCAGTGATTCATATAAGATACGTTCGAGTTAGGTCATCTTTCTTCTATACTAATAAAAAATAGGTAGATTAAAATGCCAAGACGATATTTTTGTCAGCATCCAACACGACATATCAAATTTCCTTGAGCATTCATAGGACAGAATCGAGTTTCTTTATGACTCTTGCAATTCATGTGTGATCAATACGATCTGGGCGAAACAAAAATTAGTACGCTGTGTTCAAGATGTTACACGCCCGAGGCGAGAAACATGCAGGAAGATGAGTCCATGGAAATCAAAGGGAATTATAATTCAAATGATGAAGAAGAGAAAGTAGAATACGATGATAGAGATGGTGACACTCTTTATGAACTTACTATTCAACAGGAAGAAGCTATGGAGAAATTGTTAACTATATTTCGAACTTTGAATATCGATCCAATCCATGGCAAGTGAGTTTTTTTTCGGTATTATCTTATATACAAGAACTCTTCTTCACAGGTTCAATACTCGTCCGATCCGTCGTCATATCGATACAACCTATAGAATTTTGTATCAGTCATGCGATGTGCTAGAAGGCAAATCCTGCAGCTCAAAGAAGTTAGACCCACACGAACTTCGCATCGAAGAATCAGATCAACTTCTTGTTGGATTAAAAAAAAATATTTAATCAAAGCGATGAGCCTGAACAAGTTCGTCTCATGATAATCGCACCAAACGACTGGAGCCATGCAAAGATTCAAAGATAGTGCGTAGTGCTGAGTTTTTTTTGTTGCTGATATGAATTCAATTGGGGTTCACTCGATAAAAACTACATGAAAAATGTTTTCTTTTCTTGTTAGGTTCTAGTCAACAGAGTGCCAAGCACTTCAAGCAGCTGTACTTCGAGATAATGATTATATCATTGTCTATCCGCAGTACTTCCGGGGTAATGTTTCTGTTTCCGAAGACACCATCACCGCTGTGGCCCAATTTTATCGTGAAGATGGCATCAGTCGTATATCAGCGAATTCGAAAGATACACTTCAAATCAATAAAAAATTGGTACCTGTTCGTTTCATGGAAATGACCGTTTTGGAAGCATTTCAAACGTTTGAGAAGCGTTTTCTTGGTCTCGTCGGACGCTTAACTTTCCATTTTCTTCGACCTCGTGAAGTAAAGATCACCTCACCTCACGATACATGCTTGTGTATATGCCACGAGAACATAAATCTGTTGTGACAAGTATGTATAACTGACCTATGACCTCCCATTTAAATTGATGTCTGAATTCTATGATAGGCTTGGATTGTTTACTATCAACGAATATGGAACAAATCTTTACAAGCACTACGTGAGAACTATAACATGAAAGATCTCATTAGTCGAATGGTATGTCCCATCAAGACGGAGAGCTTCTACGTTGTTGAATGTGAACAATGTTCATCAACAACACATCTTCGAGCGACTCTCATTAACAATGTTATAGTCGATCTGGATGATGACTGTTCATGGTTTCTTTGGAAGAAAGCGAACAGCAAATTCGACCTTTGGAAAGTTACAGACTCCATTGATTCCCTACTCACCGAAATAGAAGAACGGTGGCCTCATTTCCTTCTTCATACCTATTGTAATCGGCAGCAGAGGAAACGCATCACCTGTTTTCGAATACAATCGCCGGAGAGAACATTCGTCGTTTCGCAGATCGACTTTTCTATGAATTATACTCTTATTCGTCAACGTGAAGTACAACAAGGCTTCTTTTCTCAACATCAGGCCACTCTCTTTACAGTTCATCTGACTATTGGAAAAGAAAAGAACATCGAGATCTAGCTATCGATAGCGATTATATGGAACATAATACCGCCTTCGTGTATTGTGCTCAGAGAATTATTGCCGATTTTGTGAAAAAGAGTTTTCCATTCATCACCAAGATCAATTATGTAAGGTGTGTAGTCTCGCTCTTGGGCCTGTTATTAGTTTGAAACTACCAACACAGATTTCTTATTCTTGTATATTGATAGTAAATTTAAAATAGTACTCATAGTTATACAATCAGCTATCAGTTGACAGAAGTCTAAATGATTTTGCTGGTTTTCTTCTAGTGATGGTGCTAGTGGTCACTTTCAAAATAACGCCTCTATGCTCAATTCGGTTTATCACACAGCAGATTTTGGTTTGGATGCCTGTTGGACTTTCTCAGCCACTGGTCACGGCAAAGGAGCAGGTGATGGTGTTGGTGCTCTTCTGAAATCGACAGCAAGACGTGCAACTCTTTTAAAGAGTCTTCTTCTCTCTAGTCCTAAGGACTTGTACGAATTTTCTAAAAAGCATCAGATGGAGACAGCTATGGCTGCCGATAAAACAACTCCTTCTGTCTACCTCTACTACCTCGGGGCGATCGATGTCGAACGGACTAAAGGGCTTGTTCTCCAAGCCCAACTCGCACAACTCAATTCGACAAGTAGAGCTATAATTTTTTTTAACAATAAATTGATTTCATTGTTTATTTTTGGTAGGAACGATCAAGGGTATCCGCGAAATGCATGAATTCGAGATTTTCCGCAACAAAACAATCAGTTTTCGTCGAAGATCGAGTTCTTCTCAGTCGAATACTTTCTCGTTTGAATAAGAAATAGTTCAACGGTTCATGTAAATGATCAATATTTAAATAGAAGAGCTTCTTTTCTGTCGAATAAAACATCTTCTTAATATTGTGGGAAAATATGGTCGAGATTCACATTCGAAATCGATCCAACACATACAATCGAGTCAAATCCGACTCGTGAACATCGCAAAAAAAGAGACAATCGATTCAGATCAATGCCCAAGAGCATCAGGAATGCGAATATGTGATATCGTGCTGTTTCTGAGCCGCGCCGACAACAATCGGTCAGACTAACGCACGAAAAAAGCTGTTAAAAAAATACTTCTCCAAATTGTGGTACGTTTCCCATGGATTCACCCTATTCTCGTCTTACTTTACTTAACATTAAGGCAATAGAAATTGATTACATTGAACAATTTCTAAATGAAACAAAAACTTATCTACCGTGCCTAGCTGAATTACGTGTTGCATATCAAGCTTTAAGATTATCATAGAAGATTTTACAATAGAAGCAAGACGATGTAACTGTACCAATGTAACACGATGAGTTATCGGCAGAAAAATTGTTGGTTCGAAAGACTATTACATTTATTTTCCTATGTTATTTTTCGAACGATTAAAAAAAAAAAGAAATCTTTGCATTTGCAACAAACGAGTAATAATATATTAAATAAATATTAAATTTTCTTCATTGATTGGTAAATCAGTTTTCTTCAGGACATAGGATTATTGGGGCGAAGCGGAGAGACTTCTCCGACTCATTTTCTCAACGTTATTACTTTTTCTCTGGGAATTTCCTTGGCGATCACTTCACAAAATACCACTTCGTAAAGCATGAATAAATGTTCCAAAAAGCACCAATTGTTTTTTTTTCCACTGAATAATTTTCTGCTCAAATGTGAAATATTCTTTTAATATTTGAACCAATGTCTACTAAAGACACTTCCTTTTCGTATCAGAATTAAATTTTTTTAGGTATACATCACTTTTTTTTTCAAAAACCTAGACTGTTTTCTCTCAAAGAGATACACTTTACCTTTAGATCAGAATTCAGTTCTCTGTAG